ATGAGATGGTTGGATGGCATCACCGACTCAATGGACATGAGTTTGAGAGAACTCTGGGAGTTGGTGAAGGACAGGGAAGTCTAGCAAGCTGTAGTCCGTAGGGTTGCAAAGAGTCAGACATGACTGAGCAGCTGAACAATAACAACATACCTACAATGGAATGTTATTTAGCCTTAAAAAGAATGGAAGTCTTTTTAAATTTATTTTTTATTGAAGCATAATTGATTTTCAATGTTAATTTCTGCTGCACAGCAAAGTGACTCAGTTATACACATATATACATTCTTCTTTTTTCTCTCTTTTTGGCAGCACTGCAGAGCTTGTAGGATCTCAGTTCCCAGACTAACAAGTGAATCTGGATCATGACAATGAAAGCCTGGAATCCTAACCACTAGACCGCCAGGGAATTCCCTATACATTCTTCTTTATATTCATTTCCATTATGGTTTATCCTAGGATATGAATATAGTTCCTTGTGCAATACAGTAGGAACTTGTTGTTTATCCATTCTATATAAGAAAGGAAATTTTCACACATTCTGTAATATGGATGAACCTTGAAGTGGTGATGGTTGCACAACAGTGTGAATGCACTTAATGCCACTGACCTTTATGCTTAAAAACGGTTAAAATGGTGAACTTTATGCTATGTATATCTTACCCCCTCCCCACACACATACATAGGCTTTCGGCTGGCCAAGATTTAGAGTAACTTTTAGGCCCTCCATGCTTGTACCAGCAGGAAGTGGCTGAACAGTCACCAAGGAGGTCATACTTCCCAAAGCCCATCTCCTGTGTGGCCATGAAGGATAAACAAGCCAGGAGCTGTGAGAACAGTGGAGAGCAACGGACAAAGGAGTCTTTCCAAGAGCAAGTCAGGGTTAATCAAGGAACTCTCCCCAGGCCCAGGGAAGAGAGCTTTGACAAGTCTGACCATTAGCGGTTCAGAACTGCTTTGGAAGTGACAGCTTTACATCTTCCATTCTCTCCTTTTCTGACTAGGAGCTTACATTGAGCTTGCTTACAAGCTACAAGGTTACAAGATAGCTTGCTCTATCACTGTATATTTTCTTGTAGGGTATGGATAAAAACTCCCAACAAAGGAGCAGATGGATTCACAAGAGAATTCCACCAAACTTTTTCTTATGGGTATGTATACTTTTTTTTTTTTTTTTTTTTGGCATATAGCTGATTTTGGGCTTCCCAGATGGTTTAGTGGTAAGGAATGTGCCTGCCAAGCAGATGTGGGTTTGATCCCTGGACTGGGCAGATCCCCTGGAGAAGGAATTGGCAACCAACTCCAGCATTCTTGCCTGGGAAATCCCATGGACAGAGGAGCCTGGTGGGCTCCAGTCCATGGGTTCTCAATGAGTTGAACCAGACTTAGTGACTAAACAACAACATAGTTGATTCACAGCACAGTGTTAATGTCAGGGGTAGAGGAAACTGAATCAGTTACACATACATATATATATTCACTCTTTTTAAGAATCTTTTCCCATGGATAACTTTTTTAGTTTTTTAGTTCATCACCACCTTAAGGAACCATATTAGAGCTGACTGAGTGACCTGGAGCTGAACAGAGTAACTAGATGGGATTTGGGAGTATCTCCCTTGGGAGGGGTAACTGTTCTCTTTGTGGGAAGGGCAGAAACAGGCATTTGATTCAGAAACACAGACTGAGGCATACTGTGACACACAAATATCTGTGTTCCCTTTGTCCTAAACTCACAGCCAGACTTCACTTCCCACTAGGGTTGCCAATTTAGCGAATAAAAATACAGGATATCCAATTAAATTTGTATTTCAGATAAACAATGAACAACTTCTTACATGTCTCCTGCAATATTTGAAACTTAATTATACTGAAAAAATATATGTCATTTACCTGAAATTCAAATTTAACTGAGCATCCTGTATTTTATCTGGCAACTCTACTTCCCAACCTCCCCTAGGAGTTAGATGTGGCCATATGACCGAGTTCCAGTCAATGGAACGAGTGAAATTTGAGGTACAACTCTCCCAGCTCTGGCCCCTGAAAACCTCTCTGCAAGCAGAGGACTCTGAGCATCTATCTGAAGGACGGCAGGGTCATGAAACGGAAGAAGCCTGGGTCCCAAACGACCTGATGGAGCAGGCATCCCTCCCCAAATCTCTACTAGACTATGATGTGAGCAAGAAAAATCTTTTATTATTAAACCACTGAGTTTGGGGAGTTGTTTGTTACAGCAGTTAGCCTACCCTGATTAATATCCCTAATCCCTAAATTCAATATCTTTTCTCATCCTTTCCTTAACAGCATATGAACCTGGTAACCCTTTCTTTCTTCTTTTCTGGCCGTGCAGCACAGCATGTGGCATCTTAGTTCCCTGAACAGTGATCAAACAAGTCTTAACTGGACCTCCAGCGAAGTCCCCGTTTCTCTCTTCTTGAAACTCTTTTCCACCTGATACTATTTGTTCCTGGTCTTTCAGTGACAATGACAATGACGATGATGACAGTAAAAAATAGCTACCATTCATTAAGTTCTTCCTATGCACTAGGTGCTGTGCTAGTGCTTTATCAGATATATAGTTGAAGCTTCATAACTGCCATGTATGGTAAGCGATATCATCCCCATCTTAGAGACGTCCCATCCAGTATCGTGGCTGCTGTAACTATCATGTCAGTGTGGATGGCTCCGACTCCTGCCTCCAGTTCCACCTTTCCTGGCCTATGAATGTGCTGATGGCCAAAACTCAACATATCCGAAATGCGGCTATTCCTTTGTTAGTCCTTTTCATTTAATTTGCACAACAACCCTTTGAGATAGACAATGCTATTATTCATATCTATGAGGTAGATCGTATTATCCACGTTTTGCAGATGAGTACACAGAGGCCTAGAGATTCAGTACCTCGCTCACCTTTACACAGCTAGTACACAGTGGAGCTGGACTTGGAGCTGATTTCAAGGCTAAGATCTCAACAGTGACACACCTCAAGTTCCACTCAAACTGAGCTCTCCTTGTTCTGTTCCATTTCCTGCTTCTTATACTCATTCTCTGGCCTTAACTTTCAAATCTTACTGTCCTTCAAAGTCTATCCCTTGTGAAGTCTTTTCAAGTATTTCAAGCTGGGAGGAATCTCCATCTTGTGTGAATTTACAGTGCACTCACTCTGTAACATGGGGTCTTCCCTGGTGGCTCAGCAGTAAAGAATCTGCCTGCAATGCAGGAGACAGGGGTTCGATCCCTGGGTCAGGAAGATCCCCTGGAGAAAGAATGGCTACCCACTTCAATATTCTTGCCTGGAAAATCCCATGGACAGAGGAGCCTGTCATGTTACAGTCCATGGGGTCACAACAGTCAGGCATGACTTAGTGATTAAACCACCACCACCAACTCTGTACCACACTTACCTTTTCCTAAGGAAAATTCATCCTCATCATTAATAAGTTCAAGTATAGAAATACAGAGCAAGAAGTTTTAAGTGTCTCTTCATTCCCCAGAATTTATCAGTTTTTCCCTTAACAAGCCTGTGTTTCTGCTAGAAGCTCTATCAAACAGCTATTTGAGGACCAGAGGCATGCCAGTCTTCTTTATTCCCTTAGAATAGGCATTACTAAACAACTGCTCAAAGAATCAGTTTCAAATCCCATGAGCCTGCACACACTGTTTTTTAGATGAAGGTGAGAGGGTCGGTTCAAGAACTGATTTTTTTTTCCAGGGAGGCTGGTAAAGACATGTCAGACACTCCCTCTCCTCCCACCTTCATTAAAGAACAAAAAAGCATCTACTTCTAGGTACATGAAGGGTCTGGTTTCTGTTTTAGCTGGGTCTCAGAAGGAAATGACTTTCCTCTGAAATTGTAGACGCCCAACCCAGCTGCAGCATTGTTAGACCTCAGAGTAAACAGGAAGCTTCCTGCCTTGGGCCCTTCATGTCCCTCTCCCAGACTATTAAAGACTGTTAATAGGATAGTAAAAAGACAGCTGCTGGCCATAAAATCAGCCCATTCCTTAGAGAACAGCAACTAGATCCCTCCAAGGTCAGAGAAAATGGTGTCTGTCCCAGGTCACACCAGGTGTCCACCTAGCTGGGGTTCTCAGTTACCTCCTCTATGACCAACTGTAACTAGAATGGTCTTTGCAAAATACCAGAGTGATTTAATTCCTTGACATTAGTTGAGGAGAGGTTCCAATTTATAAGGGTTTCTGGTCCTTGAAATCATTTGTTTCTGGGGTGAGAAGATCCAGTGTGAAGGTTAAGCTGAGGCTGCCAGAGCAGTGAAATTACCCCCTAACCTGTGGAGCCTGAGTCACCTCTTCCAGTAGGGGAATAATCAGTCCTGATTACCGCCAAAAGAGGCAGCAAGGTTCATCCATGAGGGCAAACAACCTAGTACTCCTACCTCTGCAATGGAAGAGCTGCCTCAGGACCTCAACTCTTCTTGCACACAGTGTGGAAGGCCCCAGACTTGCAGCTGTTGCTGAGAGGGAGCAGTTTCTGCCAACTGGAGGGACACTAGGGCAGGGGTGATCATCTTTTGCCAAGAAGGGCACTTGGGTGCCTTGGCAGAAGGCAGAGGGCTGTCCTGATCTGTGTGTACATTTTCAGAAGCACTTGATTCTGGACCAAACTCTCTCAGCTGTGCTAAAGCTGGGGCAATGGATGGGAAATGCTTATTGGCCAGGCTGACTAGAAGCTCCAACAGAGGGTGCTGGGGCTCAGCCAGGAGTCCCTTCAGCTGGCAAGTTGAGCTTTCAGTCATGGTCAGAGGGAGTATGTCATAATTCTAATTCTCAGGGCTCTCCAGAAGCTGCTTATCCATCTATTTTGAAGTTTCTGCTTGCTGGAATTTTTGGTTCAAATGGGGAATGAGTGGTGATGATGCAGAACCTCTGACCTGGCTCAAAGAATGAGAGCTCAGCAGGGGTCAAGGTTTTTAACTACAATTATACAGACAGGCCCATAACCAAACGGGTGCCAGAAGATACCATTTCATTCAACCCAGGACTTACCTACAATTTATCAATTCCTGCTGCTGTGATGGTTGGTTCCTCTGATCCTTGTCTACTAATAAAGCAAGCACAGGCACTCGGGAAGGGCAGGAAATCCAGTCACTGCTCACCAAGTTGAACATTTAGTTGCCTTGGGCAGGTTTACTAACACACGACAGGGAGCCTTAGTTGCCAAGTCAATGCAATGTCAGTGCTTTCCCTCATTCAAAGGAAAGGTCACCGAAGTTACTCCTCAGAGTTGCACCTGACAAGAGGGAGAGTTTCTTCTACGGGCTGAAAACAGAACTAGATATTTTTTCCAGTAGGCTAATACAATTTCCTCTTAGTTTCAGAAGATGTAACTAAGGTTCGGGAAACTCTTCCAAGGTCCCACAGCTGGTAAGTGGGTTTTTACTGAGAGGACCAGAATCTAGGCCTTCTGCCTTCTCATGAAATGTTCTTCTTACCATGACTTTTCCCCTCAAATAACTTGATGCAGAGCATGTGGCAGGGTCTCAGCCCTTAATTTGTGTTATTATTTGTAAAATCTTTATTTTTCAGGTTATTTTTGGCTGCCCTGGGTCTTCGTTGCTATGCGTGGGCTTGCTCTAGTTGCAGCGAGCAGGAGCTACTCTTTGTGGCGGCGCACAGGCTTTTCACTGCGGTGGCCACTCAGGCTGCACTCGGCATTCAGGAGCCGCTGGGCGTGGGCTCCGCAGTTGTGGTTCACGGGCTCAGCTGACCCACAGCATGTGGGAATCTTTCTGGACCAGTGATTGAACTTGTGTCCCCCTACCTACACTGGCAGGCGAATTCTTAACCATTGCACCACCAGGGAAGTCTTGTATTAATTTTTTTGAACAATAATTTATGGGATTTCCCTGGCAGTCCAGTTTAGTACTTTCACTGCAGTAGCCTGGGTTTAGAAGAAGGCAATGGCACCCTGCTCCAGGACTCTCGCCTGGAAAATCCCATGGTCAGAGGAGCCTGGTAGGCTGCGGTCATTGGGGTCGCTAAGAGTCGGACACAACCGAGCGACTTCACTTTCACTTTTCACTTTCATGTACTGGAGAAGGAAATGGCAACCCACTCCAGTGTTCTTGCCTGGAGAATCCCAGGGACAGGGGAGCCTGGTGGGCTGCCGTATATGGGGTTGCACAGAGTCAGACACGACTGAAGCGACTCAGCAGCAGCAGCAGCAGCAGCAGTAGTAGTAGCAGCAGCCTGGGTTTAATCCCTGGTTGGGGAACTAAGGTCCTGCAAGCCAATATAGTAATAAAAATAAAAAGGTAGTTCATTAGATATAAACAAACGTTGCTTAATTTTCATTTCTTTGTAAGATTTTTCATATAAATAAGTGAACAAATCATGAAAAAACTCATCAGAAACAACGTCCCATTTAGAAAAGATGGTCCCATTTTACTTACTATTGCTGCTACACTGTTCAGGCCTCCATCATCACTGTGTGAACTATGACCAGCTTGTCAGCTAGAGCCTTTGATGAAATTTATATTTAGATTTACATGTGGGTAGGTGGTAAGTTTAAGACTATCTCTGCTAAGGTTGATTGACAACATAGATCTGGAATAAGATTTCTTCATTTATAGAGAAACCAGTTACTACTCTAAAATTTGCCACAGCAAATTTTATAGAGGCTTTCAGTTCTTCCATCCTTAACCAACGTTCAGATAGAGAGGTTCTAATGGACAGAGTAAGGATACCAGGGAGCACAGGCAGCCCCAGTGTGTATTTGTACTTTCAGACCCTGGTTACATCTGCTTCAGGCCTGTCCCCTAAGTCTCCAGGTTATGTCCAAGGCAGCCAGTTGCAATGGAGGAGTAGTCCCAAGAGCCAGTAAGTCACGAAGTAGCCTAAAATGCATCGTGTGACCAGAGAACAAGTTTTCCAGTTGTACAAGAGTCCCATGATAGAGTTTCTGGGGACCTTTTGTCCTGGTGGGGGGTCCCCTGCAGGAGGCTTCCCAGGCACAGTCTCTAGGGATCTTAGCAGTGGTTCTTGATCCAGAAGCAAGTGAGCTGAAAACCAGTACACAATAGGACTGGAGGAGCATAAAAACCTGGTGAGAACCTGGAATCACAAGAGGGGGAAAATCCACACATTTATTGGAATTTCACTGCCTCAGATGGGATGAGCCTGGGACTTCCCTGCTACTGGGTAAACTACAGCTCCCAGACTAGGAATTTATTATACTGGAAAAGATATTCATTCAGCAGAGCTTAGGATCTGCTTTATAAAGCTGTGTATAACACCAGCCAGGTGACTGCAATGTTACAAATAAACATAGCTACAGACTAATTACCACTATAATGGGCCAATCAATACTAAAAACTCCATGGGGTCCACTTTTAGCCCAGGACCAGGACTGTTACACCCCACTCCAGTACTCTTGCCTGGAAAATCCCATGGACAGAGGAGCCTGGCAGGCTGCAGTCCATGAGGTCACTAAGAGTCGGACACGACTGAGCGACTTCACTTTCACTTTTTACTTTCATGCATTGGAGAAGGAAATGGCAACCCACTCCAGTGTTCTTGCCTGGAGAATCCCAGGGACAGGGGAGCCTGGTGGGCTGCCGTATATGGGGTTGCATAAAGTCAGACACGACTGAAGCGACTTAGCAGCAGCAGCAACAGAACTCTAAACTCTAGACTGGGGACCTCCCTGGTGGTCCAGTGGTTAAGACTCAGTGCTTCCAATGCAGGTAGCCTGGGTTCGATCCCTGGTCAGGGAACTAGATCTCACATGCCACAACTAAGTATCCTGAGTGCTGAAACTAACACCTGATACAGCCAAATAAATAAATATATATTAAGCTCTGGGCTGCCCCTGGGGCTTTGGGAACCTGAAGCGGTTCTCTCATGCCCTGGGGATGGTAAAGCAGAAGGAAAGAGGCAGGGGATCCTATGGTTCAACATGGCCCCTCTGGGGGTGCCCAGAGCCAGGTCTCCAAATGGCCTCCCCCTTATCTCTGGAAACTCTAAGCTTTGCTGGCCTTCACTCCAGTAGCTAATCTGGCTATAAACACAGAATGCTACTTTCTATTTCCCCTGTGCCTCTTATTCATATAGCTTGGAGAACTTTAAAGACAGCCAAGGTGCACCTCCAAGAGGCAGAAACTGCTGAGGAGTGGCCAGTATGGAGACCAAAAGACTTCCCCGGGGTCATCCTGACGTGAGGCCACAACCAGGAACAAAAACAATCGGACGTACAGTCAAACCCTTCCCATCCCTCGACATCCTCACCACTGACTGAATACTGCAAAAGACGTCCCTTCTGAAAACCGAGCCCCTGCCAGAGCTCAGAGTACCTCAGAAAGTCGGCATTCGAGACATTCCAGGTACAGTTGTTATGTTAGAGGAAGGTCCCAGAGACATTCTCTGTGCTCATCCCTATAACTCAGTCAGATCAGGTCCTTTTAGGACTCTCGTGTCTTCACCCATGCCCTTCCATCTGCCAGAGTGCTCATCCTCTGCTTCTTAAACGAAATTTCTTCTTACTCTTCAGGACCCAGCCTACATATGATGCCCTCCTCACCTCCTTGGACAGTTGGCTACTGTTTCCTCTGTGCTTCCACAATACTTTATCTCAAAAGGATCTCCTCTCCCATTCCACTATACTGTAGTTTTACCATTTACCTGTTAAATGTCTGCCTCTCCATTTTGACCACAAAACCCAGTAGGGCAGCAATCTTATCTTATTCATCCTCTATCCTCAGTGGTCTGACCCAGGGACTCACAATAAAAACACCCCCAAATAGTAGTTGAATGAACAAATTAGGTAGAGGTCACTCAAATGGAAGAAGTTAGCTGTCTTGCCTGTTCCTGACCAATGGGTTCAGCCTGTGTTCACACCTATTCCCAGCCAGGAGTCCACCTCACCTGAACATGCATGCACAGACTGCCAAACAGCAGCAGCGCTGCAGCGTGGACCAGGTACACAAACACCCGAGGACTGAGGAATCCAGGTTCAGGCTTCTCTAGGGTCTTTTTGTTCTTGCTCCTTTGCATCCCAAGTGTAAGGAAGAGCCAAGGGTGGGTGGTCGCGTATGTCCAAGTTGCCCAGGCAACCAATACAGCCATTGGTGAAGCCAGTAGAAAATTGGGCACCTGCTTGAGTTCATAGTATCTCAAAAAGCCAACATTCCAATAGACATCCTGGATGTAGCTGTATATTAGGGGAAGTTCCCAGGAGCACCAAGGCGGCTTGTTTCCCTCTGCAGTTCGGTAGCCCTGGTCTATAGCTAATTGCAGCAAGGGCTGAGGAATGGGGTGGGCTGAGCCTGGCAGACAGAACTGGGTATAGGCGTAATACTGAAAGAGGGCAAAGGGAAGGCCGAGTGTGAACACTGACAGGAACACAGAACCCATCAGCTTCAAGAGCTGTCTCAGAGCATTCTGCACCATGAGAGATGAGAAAAAGTCTTGGCACTGAGAATGTACGAGGAAGCCAATGTTGACTAGCCCATTGGAGCGTACACCAGTGGCAAGGGCAAAAAAGAGTCCACTAGTCCAGCTTTGGCCCCTTTCCAGCTGCCCCATGGCGCTGAATGTCAGGAGAGCAAATAAGGCTTCTGAGTAACCAGCAGTCAGGAAGACATTGGCAGGGCTGAGGCAGAAGAGCAGTGCTCCATAAAAGGCCTGGCGGGGACAGTGCAAAACCAAACAGCCCAGGTCGTGAAGTGCAAGTGCAGCCAGCGCGGAAAACAAGGAATTGAGCAGTGCTACTGAGATGAGCAGGCAACTCCGTAGGTTCAGTAACCCCCACAGGGGTCTCATCAATTCAGTTCCCACCAACAGGACCAGGGGGAAACCAGGGAAGAAGGCAAAGTTGTGCTCATACAGGTAGCCGTGCTCGGCAACGAACAGGAAGTGTTCAGCATCCCAGTGAGATAGGCCACCCAGAAGACCTTCCACAAATTGGTCCACAGAGCCAGAGGGGGCGAGCCGAGGAGGAGAGAAGGCTTCTGCACGATGGTCTGGGATGATGGCATTGAAGACAGCCTGTGGGATGAAGAAGAACTAGTACTTTGGTTCAGCAAGTGGAAGAACTACCATTTAATAAAATGAGGAAGAAAAGACACGTTGGGGAAGAATCACAAGTTCAGTTTGAATTGAATGTTCCAGTGCATAGGTCAATGAGGCAGTGAGATGTATGAATCTTGAGGGTGAGGAGAACCCTCAGGCATGGAAATATAAATTCGGAAGTCGTAAGTACATGGATAGTAATAAAAGGTGTGAGACTGAATGAGATTACCCAGGGAAGAAGTGCAGATACAGAAAAGAAGAGCTCTGAGGACTGGGTCCTAGACATGCCAACATTTAGAGGCCCAAAGAGAGTGAGGATCCAGCAATAATGGTAAAGAAGGAAGGGTCAGTGAGGTTGGGAGCAAATAGGAGAGCACAGTGTCAAAGAACCAAGTGAAGCAAAGGAGCGATCGGCTCTGTTAAATGTGGTTGACAGGTCAAGTTAGATGGGAACTGAAACTGACCACTGGATTTAGCAATACAGTGAAGGTCACCAGTGACTATGACGAGAGCTATTTCACTGAAGTGGAGGAGAGAGAAGACTGCCTAGACTGGGTTCAACAGAGAAAGGGAGAAGGGAAACAGTCGATATAGACAACTATTTGGAGGATGTTTGCTGTAAAGGGGAGCAAAGATGGGGTAGTAGGTGAATGACATTGTGGGGTCAAGAGAAATCTTTTTTTTTTAAGTGAGAGATATTTGTTTGCCAGTGGGAATAATCCAGCAGAACAGAAACCACTGTGTACGTGAATAAGAAAGGGAAGAATTGATGGAGCAAGCAAAAGGGGATGGAATCTGCTATGGAAGTGGAGTAGCTGACCTTAGTTTAGAGAAGACAGACAGTTCACCCCGCCTTCAGCAGTGAAGGCACAGAGGTGCAGATGTAGGTTTGAGGATGGCTGTGGAGGAAATATTCAGAAGATTGCTTCTTATTGTTTCTATTTTTCTGAATTTTCATTCAGGAGAACAAGCTAGGGAAAAGGTGCTGGAGACTGAAGGAAGAAAAATGTGTAAAGTAAGTAATTTCTGACCCTAGCTCTCAAAATAGCCTGTGCACTGGATTTTCAAATACAAGATGCCTGGGTTTCTCCTCTGCTCCACAACATTAATGATTTAACCAGTATGGAGTATTCAGGGCATTCAGGTTGTTTTTAGCTCTCCCAGGTGATTCTGATAGGCAGAAAAATTTAGAGAATAGGTGAGGGACTGGACCAGGGAAATACACTAAGATTGCCAGGCAGCACTAAGGACTCACTTGGATTAATGGTATTGAATAAAAAGAGACTAGTTAATACAGTTGTATGCTTCTCTCTGAGAAGATGCCAGCGCAGAGTACACATGGAACAGAATTTAATGAAGGTTGGGCTTTTGTCTTGTGATTAAGACAGGAAGAAGGGAGCGAGTGAGTTGTACATGTGTGCATGGTGGATCATGGACTCTAAGCTGGGTAAGAAAGGGAGCTGAAGCCACGAGGTGAGTGAGGGACAGGGAAACAGAGCTAGAATCAATGGATAAGTCCTGAGGGAGTGAACTGGAAAGACAGTAGATAGTTGTTAGATGTATCAGCTCTATTAATATTGAAACCACCAAGAAATATACAGTAATGCTAGAAAGAGCAACAGTGAATCAGGAGCTAAAACCTTCAAGGAATGAGAAAGAATGAGCTGTCACTAGCAGAGATGACAGCAACAATGAGGGGTAACTGGGGATATAACCTGATGGCAGGAATTTTAAAGCTGCCAGTGGGGAAGGGGAGGACAATGAAATAGCATTATTATATGCTTTTTTCCCCATTAGATTGTCAGCTATTTAAGAGAAAACAGATTGTGACTTTTTGTACTCCCACCTAGCAGTTCTTTGAACAGACAGAGCAGGGACTTAATAAAATTTGGTGGCTGAGTGAACAGCACAGAGGAAACATGCTTGTTTCCAAATCACCACCTGAATTAGAACCCCCGCTTCCTGGGACCCTATCCCAGGTGTCATCCGGTCTCAGGACTGCTTCCTTAGTTCTGCCAATCACTCGGCTGATGCTGGTTCAAAGCCATCATCAAGTCAATTTTCCCAAGCCTGGCCACAGGAGTACAACCTCATTTTTAAGGCTCTTTCTTTTTTTGGTCAATTTCTTTACTAGGCCACTTTGAACAGTGAAAACAAGTGGGACAGGACTGACAGTCACAGGGTACAGTCCTAGGCTCCAAGCTGAAGACCGTTTTAAATAAACCTGGGACCTAACAGAGCCTGTTATGCCACATATAGTTGGGGAGGAGAGCGGAAAGGAGTTTTCCACAAAGGAACCAGCTATGAGCCTCAGAGAGAACATGCTTGTGATGAAAGGCACACAGAATATGTTGACAGAACATCCCTAGGCTACTGACGTACATTCAATAATAATAGCTACTGTGAACCTACAAGCAGTGGGTACTGTGCGAGGCACCATATATAGTTCATATATACCTGAAATCGGATTAAAGTATGTATCAAGGGCAGCCGTGGAAGGGAAAGGGAGTTGCAAAATGCACTGGAGGTTGTGTGTGGGTGAGACAGGAAGGGGACACAGCTAGGGGAAGAGGAGAGGACACTGATGACTAAACAGATAAACACAGATGGTCTCAGGACAGTGCCCCCTCTCTTGCACTCAACTGACTGATATCATGCTCAGCCTCCTGGTTGGGAACCCAGGGTAACGCTTTGAGCTGTCATACCCTAAAGGCATCAGGTTACCAAATATCATGGTCTGGTGTAAAGATCACTAGCCCAGGGGTAAGGAAACCTGGGGTATGATTCTGGGCCTTTTCGAACTTGTCTTGTGACTTTAAGGAAGCCACTGAAACTTTTTGGGCCTCAGCCATTTCATCTGTAAAATAAGAGATTAATAGATCATTTCTAACAGTCCTGTCCACTTTTCAGCTATGTGGTCTAGGTCTCTATAGTTCTAATCACGTGGAGGGGCACATCTGGGAAACCGAAAGATGAGGCCTATTCTTAGCATCTAGCTCAGTCATGTGGCAATGGCATGTTCGGGAAGAAAGATCAGAGACTGACCTGCAGCACCAGAGTCAGGACACGGCAGCTGACTGCAAACCCCAGGACCTCTTTCCGGGATGGGTCCAGGGGCCACATCCTCTCACCACCAGGAACTCAGGGGGGCTGCTGCCAGGGCTGAGCTCCCTCAGGCTTCTAAACGCCAAAACCCAAGGAGGAAATGTCACACATGGGCAGAAAGTAAATTCTTGAAAGCATTCTTCACAGAAACACCCTCCGGCTTCAGCATTACTATGGCAAACTTAACCACCTAACCTCCTAGATGAAGAAAAAGCATCTTAAAGGCAGATGGGACTGCCTCCCATCACTCTGAAGCATTACATTCTTATAGGGGAAGTTCCACACTTCCCCTAGGCAGGAAGCTGGAAAGCTAAGCTCACAGAAAAACTTTAAAAGTCTGTTGAGAGCCCCTGTGCGGGAACTAAAGGCCTGGATTCAAGTCCTGACTTTCTCATTCACAAGTTTTTATTTTGTTCTTCTCAGCCTCAGTTCTCCAGGTGTGAGTGAGATTGGACTCTTTTTGTCTCATGAAATTGTCATGATGGTGACATGGACTGAAGTGTGAAAAAAGTACTACCAAATCTACATTGCAGTTGCTATTATTTGGTGTGTGCCCTTTCCCTCTCGCCCAGAATAATAAACTAGGTCCCAAACCAGAGTCCCAAAAGTGGGGCATAGAACTGAACTGGAAGACCATAATGACTACACACTCTAGTTAAGCTCTCTGATGTGTGTTCAGTTGGTCTGTTAAATTAAGTGGAGAAGGAAAAGAAAACCACCACTCAGCAGGACTTCAGCCAGCTAAACAAACTGAGAGGGACGACAAAGTCGACTACTACAGACGAAGAAACTGTTGTTTCCCATCTCTTCACTGGAATGGCAGCAATGTATAAACAACTGCAAAGCCATTCTGAGGGAAGGAATGCACTTTACAGCTTTCTTTCTTTTTTTTTTTTTTAAACACAACTCCTTGGGTTCACAGAAGTAGCAATGGCTCTTACAGAACCAGTTAGAAATCAGAAGGGAGGGCAGAAGCATCAGAGGCAGCTCATCAACTTGGGGTGATGAACTAACCCTAAAGGAAAAATATTGTATTTTAACTGAGAAATTAAGAGGGAGGGCTGGATTTTCCTTTCTTAACACTAATCAAACCTTTAAGTATCACTTGTTTCTGGAATTCTGTGACCCTCACTAGACTATGTGATATGCTCTCATTACCCTCTCTCTTGTCGTCTTTATAGCTATTGCTTATTTAAGTTGTTTATGAGAGCAGGGGCTTGTCTATCTTGTTCCCAACTATCCTTCCAGGGCCTAGCATTACACAAAGGCACATTAAACCTGTGTTCTGATTTACTGGAAGTGGCAGGAACTGGATACAGCTTCACCAGTTCACTGGCTCTGGATATAAAATCTCTGCTCCAAGTACTCCTCCCACCGTATCTCACGTTGAGAGCAAAACACAGTCACAGAAGCCACAGGAAAATACAATTTCTCCAGAAGCAACAGTTCTCTCTCTTCAGCACAAGGGGGCGCCTGTTGATTACTCCATCACCAGGAGGCCTGGAGGAAGGGAGGGGCCACCAACGCCACACCGGTTTGCTCATCAAAATTCAGTTCAAAGGCAAGCTTTCGAAAGCCCCAGAGAACAGCGGTAGTTTGTGAATCTACCCAACATTGCCAATATCTGACTCGCTGAATCGAGAGGAATCGTAGAAACAAGAACAGCCAACCTTACACGGTCGCTGGTTCTTTATCCTAGGATGAATTCACTTTTTACCTTCCTTCACTTCCCACCCACATGCAGAAGAGTCGGGAACAGAAAAGCACATAACCCACCTCTGCCTCTTCACCAGGCTTCCATTCTTCGTCTCTCCAGACTCAAATTCTAGACCCAGCGACCACAGAAGACGTGTAGCCTACACTTAGTTTGCAGGCAAACCAAGTGAAAACGAGAATAAAGCCAGTGAGCTCTCCTTCTCAGCTAATTGCGGCCCTCACTTCCCAACAACGCCTTTACGAAAGCAGACTCTGAACTGGCAGGACACTTACAGAGCAACTAGTTTCACTCTCTTTTCCCTTGAGATAAATATGCCCCAGGGAAGTGAGTAATAAAAACTCTCCAGAGTTTTTACACCAGAGAGCTCATTAGACCCTGTGTAATTACCATCGCCATTTTACAGATGTGGAAACTGAGGCTCACTAGGGTCAAGTGGCACACCCAAGGATATATTTAAGGAGAACGTCTTTTTTTTTTTTTGTCTGAAACATCAGTCTTTCCACCAGCCCTGACTCCTGCCAAAGCGGATGCGCTCTTTCAGAGTCAAGATCTCCCAACTCCAAGCTCAGTACTTGTCAGATGACAGCGCATGCTCTTGTATGCTTAGAGCAGGGAGGGTCCCATCTGAGCAGACAGGAAAACCTGTTGAATCGAAGCCCTGGACCCTCTGGGTAAGACTAACATCCTCAGGGGCGAGGGGTGTTGTTCGGACCCAGGGTCCCCGGGACCAGAGGCCTTGCTGACCGCCAGCTTCAGCGGCCGCCTTCTGCCCGCCCACCCGGGTCCAAAGCCCGTTCCAGCCGTTTCCTTTTCGACAAGAGTCCCAAGCAGAGAATGGGCATCTCCTCTCCCCAAAGGGCCAAGGCTCAGGGGTTACTCTGGAGGGGGCCGGCTACGCCCGGCCCGGCCTACGACCGGAAGGCAGGGGAGGGGGGAGGCTGTGAAGGAAGAGGCGGCACTGGGAGGCCGCTATGGCGGAGGGGGCGGGGCTCCTCGCTTCTCGGCGGCATCCGCCTCATTTCCCTCGGCCTCCGTTTGACGACTTCCCTCCCCCCACTCAAAACTCCTAGGCTCCGAAGCTGGCGCCGGCTCCCCAGCGCCGGCGGGTCTCAACCTCCCAGGCGGGGCCCGAACCTTAACTCCTCCATCCGGGGCTCCGAGCGGACGCGCCTGCGCACTGGCTCCGCGGGTGGCGGCCCCGCCCCTCTCCAGCCGGGAGTCGGAGCTGCCCCGCCCCCCTCCGCAGCGGCCATGTTGATTCCGGGAGAGCGGGGCGGGGACGGCTTAGCCCCGAGACTCAGCGCCCCTCTGCCTTGGCCCTTGCCAGCCTTGGTGACACCTGAGGAGTCCCCGCTCCGCTAGCCCCTTCCCCCCGCCTTCAGTTAGTCCTCCAGGGCTGCTGTCTCAGCGTCGGTGCTCTTGGAAGAGTTCGAACCACCCCTCAAACATCCATAAGTTCCCTTGAGGGCCGAGGCCCTCGGAGTTGGGGGCTGCCCTGCGGCCCCTTCACGGAAGCCAGAGCCGCATTTTCCCTGCTGTCAGGCAAGAGCAGCTCAGCACAGGGCCTGGCACACAATAGCTGTAGTTTGAGTAGAAAGAAAAGCCTTCTTGGGGTTTCTGTGGCCAGCAGCGGCACCCCGCGTCTTGGGTGTGAAGAAAGTGGGGGTTCCCCCGGACTTTCCCCTCCGGCTACTAGGGACCTTCTGTCCTGCTTCAGTCTGGTGGCTAATGAGGGTGATGAAGGAAACTTAAGAGAACGCCCCCCACGACTCCTTTCTCCTTCACTGAAGCCGTTTCTCTTGTAGGAAGTGGGGCCAAAAAAGAAGAAAAAAGAAGCTAACTCAACAAAACCATCTGTTAGGGAGGAGCGGCCAGTTGGTACCCCTGTAACGGAAACTGTTAGAATAACTTTGCACCCTCCTTAAAGGAAATAGATAATAAATCCTTCTCCGTTGGTGGATTTCTCGTTTCTCAGGATTCCAGAGCCCTTTGTGGTTTCAGTTATCTGCCCTCCAAACGAAGCTAGGGTCTGGGTTAACCTCTGGCCACAGCCCTGGCTGAGGGAGGGGTTTATCTTCCGCTACAGCTACTCCTGTGGGTGGGAACAAAAGAGGTGGTTGCTATCTCTCCAGGCAAAGACAGGCAGCCCACAGCAGTTCTGTGGGGGCCAGGGACTGTATCTTTGGATTCTTTATAGCTCATTTCAGGCCCTGAGACCTAAATTCCCTCAGATATTTGTTGTGTGTAAGGTGGATCCGTCACGTTTTAGTCGTGGAGTGTTGGAGAAGAAAAAATGGGGCTTAGAACCCTAGGTTTCTCATTGACACACCCTTGTTCTCGGCTCCAGAGGCATGTGAGTGAGTCGGCAAAGCTGTGGGTTACACTCGTGACTGGGGCCTAAGGTTGTGGCTTGAATCTGTAGAAGTCTTTGAGGCTCCAAGCAGTACTGTGTCTGTAAGGGGAAAACCGAGAAATGAACTATCCTTCCTTTGTGAATTCACAAGGGAAAAAGACATGCATTCTTAAGATTCCCTCTGTTCACACACCAAATTCTCTCAAAAATCTACTTGTGAAAAAGGACAGGCGTCTATTGTGACAATTCAGAATGTTTTTTTAAAAGCTCAACTGTCACCCTTTAGAGGTAGAACTTTGTCCAGATCTTCAGCTCTACTTTCTTGCAATTTCTCCTTCCTTTCCTTCTCTACTACCCACCCCCCTCCTCTTCCGCTCTGTTTCCTGTTTCATTTTCTGGCTCCTGCTCCGACTGGAAAACAAGGAGGCTGAATCTTGTGCTCACAAAGCTCTGGCTTGTCAGAATGGAGGAACACTAGGTGGGATGGGAGGGGTTCTGGGCCTCCAGGGCTGTGAGTAAGTAGTGGAGGAGGCAGCTCTCTCTAGTCTGCTTTTAGAGTCTGCTGCTAAAATGGAGCCTGCATCCACATAGGGAGCCAGCTGAGCGGCCAGCACTGTGGGAAAGCCAGGAAGACTGAGACTTACCCCAGGGCTCCCAAAAGATTCTACACCACTCAGCCACTTCCCTAAAGAAGTAAATATGCCACACCACCAAGAAACGATTTCATAATACAAATCTCTGACTAAATTAAACAAAGCAGTACGCCACTGTTTCTAGAATCCTAGAATGTGAGAAAGTTACAGCATTTCTCTTTCTTGAACTTGCCTGGCTCTGCTCTTGCTGTTTCCTCTGCTTGAAATGCTTCACTGCTGACTGACTACCCTTTGGCCAATCTACTTCAGGTCTCAGCTGAAATGCCACCTCCTTGGAGCTTTCTCTGTCTACCCCACCACAATCACCACCCTGTACTTCCCACCACCCTAATTCTGCTCTCTTTATGGCATTTATGATCACCTGGTTGTCCTGTCCATGGATTATTTCACTGTCTTGTTTTCCTCTTATGGAATGTAAGTGCTATGGGGGGAAGGGGGTCTTGTTCACCAAGGTGTTTCCAGAACTTAGTACCTTGCATATTGTGTGTACTCAGTAAGGATCTAGTGAATAAATCTGTTTGTTTAACCTGCACTTTATGGATGAGGAAACTGAGGCTGGGGTGAAAGTGACCAGTTCTGAAGTTACACAGCTAGTGGCAGAGGTGGGATTTGAATTAAAAACCTCCCTGGCTGTTTTGTTTTTTTTTTAAACCACCCCACACTATTTTAAATCTTTCTCAGGTTTACCTCTTTCCCTCTCTTCCTTTTTTCACTTAACTGAGGGTCTTTATGGGCTACATTGAAAATTTTACATAGGGAAGACCAAGTCTTAACAGTTCCTACCGACTATTTCCTTCATTAAATTCCAATTTTACCTTTTGATTTACTCAACAAAATAGGACTACTATGTAATGAGGATGAGAACATAATACTGAAGCAAGACAGACACAGTCCTTGTCCTCATGGAGATGATGGTATCCTTTTAACATTAATCTTTAAATGAAACAAAGGTGAATTATTTTTAGTGATAAAAAAGATACAATTCACAAAGAAGGTAGACATCATAATCCATGATGGTATTGTTTATTACAAGGATTTTATAGTGCTTGGCACAAATTGCTCGATAAAGTTGGGCTGTTACAACTCCCTGAACAAAAAGGGGAGCAAGTGGTTTTCCCATTGATGATGTGAAGGAAGTTTGGTAGTTTCCATAGGATTAGGACCATGGAGTGTCTAGAGACAAAATTACTGAGAGATGGCCAAGGCCATCTCCAAATGTGATGGCAGAGCAAAGCAAGGTAGCTAGAGAGAAGTTGTCAGGTTGCTCAAAGGAAGCGAGTGTTCCATGAGAACTAAACTTCCTTCACAAGAGTCGGACAAGACAATCCTACGGGAAGGATGGAGTAACTGATGCTGATCTTGGTTTTGAGGGCATGCCATTATGGGACAAAAGTGACCACACTGGCCTCTGATCTGCCAACTGTTAGCAGGCAGTGCTAATGCCTGTGATGACAGGCAGATGTGCCTTACCAGAACTTTATGCTACTTCTTTTCATGTGGATTCTTTTTGTGGGCATTTATTGGCAGTTTTCAAGGATGCTGGATGATGCTAAAATCCATCTTGAAATTGGGGGTGCCACCACCAGAAGCATCCTTTTTGGCCTTGCCATATGTATCACTTGAGGATGCCCATCCACCCTGCGACAAAGACCCCACCCTCCTCTCAATTTCAACAGTCAAATGCTGATCCTTTAAAGGCCATGGATACTAGATATTTTTCACCCTTTCTTTGGGGTTTGCCTTTCAGTAGTTAGAAAGCCTTGACCCCACAAAGAGGCCTAGTGGGAAGGGCCTTAGCCACTTGGGGGTGGTAGTTGGCTGCAGGGCGAAAGAGCCAATGAGGCTGAGAGTATTGTTTAGGCTGGACTTGGCAGCTCTCCAGTTATGAAAGAAGGTTAAGGTCATTTGGGGGGTGGGGAGGGAGGAGCCTGGGAAAAGAACTACAGGCCACACCCCTGGGTTCTCCACTGGCTAGGTTCTATTTACTTCTCCAAAGCAAATTACTCACAGCTCAGTGGCCACCAGTTCTTTCTGCATGTGGTAACTCCAGTCAGAAACTGGAGACGAGGCTAGGCTCCTCCTGCATTGCAGGAGAACAGATGAAAGGAACCCAGGAAACCAAACTCCTAGGTAATGTTCCACACACAGCCCAGAAATGCACTTTCTTGACTAGAAACTGGAGTTTCAGAGGCCCAGAGCAAAAATATCCATTAGTAGTATTACTTGCCAAAATATAGATATGAAAAGTTTGCCATTTAGTTTTTTTCCCCGAGAGTTCTAGGAAGGCAGCTTAATTGACAAACATTAGCCAGTTGTCTCTATTTCCCCTCTCTCAATGGAGAAATATAGAAATTATTCATTCCTGTCCCTGACCCAAATATTAACAACTACACTTAGTTTGACAAACACTTGATTGAAATCAATGGAACAATTTTACCTCATGCTAAACACAACAAAAACCAAATCTTGCCTGCTGTGCTCCGCAACTAGATCCAGTTACTCCTGGTTGTCCTCCAACCCAGGAAGGAGGTGGAGGATGTATTAAGAACATGGGACTTGGGAGTCATGGGCCTTTGTGTGTGAGCTCAAAGAAGCTCCCCTTTACTCAACTGTAAAATGGGAGCCAGACTACTCACCTCACAGGCACAGAACTGTTGGGGAATTATTTGCCCTACTATGTCTGGTACACAAGTAGGTACTCAATAGAAAGCTGTTGTTTCAAGTTTCACTTTAAATGTCCACCATAATAGCATTTTCTGATACTGCTTTTGGTTTCTCCATTGTGTCCTTAAGGAAGTCAATCAAGAGAGAAGCTATATATTGCAACATTAACCTTTTAAAATAACTGTGTCTGGCCAACATCTACCATTTCATTCAACAACTACTTAGTAAGTGGCTACAATGTGCCAGGCTGTTCTGTAGGACAGGAATATAGCAAGGAACCAAACTCCCTGCCCTCAGAGAACTTACATTAATTACAGTGGAAGACAATAGGTATGTACAATATACAATAAGTCTGATGGTAACAAGTGCTATAAAGAAAAATCCAGCAGAAAAGGGAAATGAGGCAGGGGAACAGGTTGCTTTTTTTGGGGTCATATGGCGTGGCATGTGGAACTTCC